CGCAGCGGGTAAGGTGGATCGACCAAGTAGAAGGTGACCTGCGGACCCTTCGCAGACTACGAGGCTGGCGAAGTGTGGCCATGGATCGAGTAGAGTGGAGACGACTTCTTCGGCCAGCAGAGGACAACAAAGCCTTAGCCTGATTGACTAACCGACTGAGTTCACTTGCGAACATAAGGCGCGTAAATCTAAACATGCCACTTTCAGTTAAGAACGTCGTGAGGTCCCGAGATTCCTCACAGAGTTCGAGATGATAGCAAGGTCGAGTTTCGAGAAATATTTGGCTCCATGAAGTTTCCTTCATTTCCTCGACTAGGGGCAGCCGATAATACTCACGATGAATGGCTTTGTTGGGGCCCCTCATATTGACCACCAACCGGTTGTCGTCCTTACCCTTCGGAACAGCAAGTATGCCGCTTATCTATTTCGGCACTTTCGTGACCTTTTCTATAATACCTACATTCTCCATCTCTAGTAACCTATTCCTCGCCCTTTCTCGAAGTGCCGCTGGCACATTATAGTATGCCTTTCTGATAGAAGTGACCGTCTTGTCCACTGTGAATTTTATGCTGCGCCTGACATTTTCGAAACGTCATATGATCGTCGAATATCTCGCAGCTGCTGACGGTTGGCCCTGCTTGGAGGAGCTTCAGATCACTTGCCGTTGATCGTCCTACAACGTAGAATGTTGCGATTACTGACGGTTTTTCAGTTCCTGGCACGGAAATCTGTGCCTGAAAAGCGAATTTTACAGACCTTTGTCCAAGGAAGACTCAATCACCGGGAGCAGTGCAATACCCTCGTGAAACACCCGTTTAAGGCGATTCGATTCAATCCCTCCTATAATATTCACGTCTGCACCTGAATCGATCATAAACTCGATCGGAGTGAAATTTCCAACACAACAATCCACCAACTTATCTTCAAGGGAAAGAGCGTGGATTTTCTGAAAACACATGTAGAGAAAGGACAAAAAGGAGTCAAGTCGGCAGAAAAATTACAGGGGACAGCCCTATGGGGTTGTACGCAATGGTGACGTAAGACTACGTGGTCTTATATAATAAATCTTATTTGTTAACTGCAGCTGCAGGAATAGAAATTTGACCAGGGTTCTCTATGTTTATACTTTTTAGTATGACGCGCTTGACATAGATGGCCTACAGCGACTCACGAAGAGCTACTGATTCCGATCAATAGCGGTGAGGCTTCTTCCTCCTTCTAAGGATCCTCATGTGGGCTGCAGCTCGCTGCTTGCAGGCATCCTTTCGTTGTGTACTGGAGAACACCACCACTCACCACGCGGTGATTGAATAAACACCGTTTGGTGCGACCGGATTGAATTCAAATTGGAAATCTGTGTTAGGGACATCGCTTTTCGCAGGTAATCGGTGATAATTTTAATTATCATAGCCACAGTTGCACATTCGTGCAATTTTCAATAGCGACATTTTGAAAGATGATAAAGTCTTAACATAATCATAATCTTAACATAGTCTAATGCGTAGGAATATTTCTGATCGATTGGTGATAAAATGATTGAAATTGGTCTTGGAGCAGCTATGTTATTAACGTTCAAAATCTTTCACAATTTTTTTACATGTTCCATTTTCGGTTTTCACAAAGTGTACTCCTATATAGAAATCACAGACGTAGTCCTACGTAAAAAATCATAGAGGATTTCATTGCCTAACAAGTGTTATTCACTTAGGAAGTAGCTGCTTATTATTTTCGTCTTGATCATCAGTGCAACCAGGAAGTTTGACCTGCTTCTAATGAACCATATTCACGCACTTCTTACGGCAAGTTTGTTGCTTTGCAGCTCTCCAGTGCCATGGTATCGCTTCGTCTGTCGGTTGTCATCTTCATCGTCCTCTCTTTCACGCTTCCTGTACTCCGTACACTTAACGAAACAGCCGCAATACTTAGAAGGATTATTGTACTCCTCGAGCCCTTTAAAAATATGTTTTCGATTTTTTGATGATTGCCTTATGGTTGAATTCGTCACCTTCATATGAGTCTTCATATGACTGTCATCCAAAGTATGTCTTCAAGTCGCCGCGTACATCGTACGGGTTAGGCAAAAGGTGTGCGTTTGACTTTATACTGTCGCATTAATGGCCCTTCGCTCATTTTCAACTTCTATTCAATTTTCATACTGCCGTACTCTAACGGAACTATCCACCTACCCTCTTCTAAAGATCATTCTCTAGCTAATACATTAGCACACTAAAGCTTCATGTTAGCATTTCCAACCAACTCTGAAATCGCAAACTTCGCCTATGAAGTAACATAAAAACACTTTGAATGCTTTAATTTAGATTTATATGTAATTCGATTGTTTACATTCCCATATTGAATAGCCAAGAACAGCCATTGCATGGATATAAAAATTGTTTGTTGGTAGAGGGAACTTCCTCCACCATGAATAGACAATCTTCGCTTTACCAATGTTCGTACCACCTCTGATAGCGATGAAAATATTTCCATCTCGTTTGTCAGCTCAGATCAGCAAATGACGTTCGATAGAAATATTTACATCACCGTTTTGAATGATTTGCGTTATGGGACTGAACCAATACCATACCCATTTCAATTTTGGATGACAATCGTTCCACAGAGAGCATTACGTATTTTACCTGTGATCCGTTCGCTTCTCGTATCAATGTTTATCCAATATTCGAGAGGACCATCATCTGAATACATAACAACCGTCATCCGGTTGCAGCTATCATTCGAAGAAGCGATTTCGATGTTTCGATTTGAATTGTCTGAGGCTTCATTCGAACAGAGGATGATGTTTTGGTATAGTGTAGCTGGCCGTTTCGAATTCTTTTGTTGAAACGCAAAAAAAGGCCTGGCTTGTTTGAAGGGCGTGCAGCTTTCCATATAGTCGTACTTTTTCCAACAGCTTGGCATGAAATGATGCAGCGGATTCCCCAACAATCTGGGACATGTTGCTAGTATAGTCGCTATATTCATAGTCTGGCGGATAGAATTTCGGGAACCAATTGAGCTTGCAAATAGCGGAACCAATCGAGCAAATCACAACCAACAACAGAAAAGAGCTCATCAGTTATTACGAACAAAACGTCGGAAACCCTGTTCTTGTGACTCAAGGCTCGCCTACGCAAACTAACACCATATTTGGGTTGGGGAAAGTTTCCCCTATCCGATGATGTCGGTAATTTGCGTTCGATTGGCAAGGAAAGAATAATCAATGTTTTGTTTATACAAGTTGATAGTACATTTTCAATTGTTGGTCTACAATATATTGAATTGGTTCAGCTTTTTGATAGATCGAAAATCTATCCGCCAGACTATAAATATAGTGACTATAGTTGATAGGCACTGCTCGATTGGCTTTGACAGTTCGTGTGACTCAAAACCAGCCAGTCCACTCCATTATCATCCTAGACCCCCTATAACTATATCAATCATACAAGGTCTGCAACAACAGGCAGCTTACTGGTGTTAGAAGCAAAAATGTTGTAAACATAGCTGAACAAGCGAATGACAATGTCACGGCAGCACAACATTCCATACTGCGAATGGCAGACGTGTCGTCACAGAAAACAGCTGTTTCGTGTGAAAAGATAAACATTGCGATGAAATACGAGCACCACTAAACATTTCCACATTTCACTAATACCAAAAAGCCGGTTGGACCAGACCTTGTATAATTGACATCGCCCCTATAAGACTGTCCACGAGACAGCTACCAAGAACTTTTGACAGATCACAGTAGAACTGGCAGTTTATTCTCATATGAATTGCTGCTTTGTTTATGTTTATATTCAGCACCATTAACACCAGATCACTCACACACTCTAGATTTCTAGCTGTCAGTTCCACTGAGAAACGTCTCTTGCACGCTAAGACAAAAGTAACCCAACGGCCAGTTCACTTTTACCTATTTTTGACTAGTTTGTCTCCTTTTCTCCTTCTAATGTTGTCAAAAACGGAGGAGCAAAACCACCCAACAGGGGTAGTAAAGTGCAGGAACCCAACGATGAGTATAATCATATTTACCTACTTTTGGGTACAACTAACTTACTTTTGGGTAGAAAGCGAGTGGAAAATTCCAAACAAATTACACAAAAGTAAATGAAAACTACTTTGACCCGCTTTACCTACTGTTGGGTTCCTGCACTATAGTGCCGAGATGAGTATAAAGAACTTAATTTTTGGGTACTTTTTTTCTTACCGTGTGGATCACCTTATAGCTGTACTTCTTTAATTTCCCTTAACAAGAATCATGTTTCATAAATCAAAGGAAATGTTGATACATGTAATTTCTACAAAAAACATTCGATCAAATCAAAAGAAAAGAAAACAGTCTTCAAAGAGATAGCAGCAATTCAGTGCCAACATTTCAAAGGGGCGTGATTGCTTTTGTAAACAATGGCTTTAGCTGTCGATTTCTCAGTGTTCACTCGGCTGTCGACAAAAGCAGGCCACTCTCGATGTGTGCTACGCGATCGTCTGTTTTCTCGGCAGCAACCATTGTGTGGTCCTCCTCATTGTTCTTCATCATCAGTTCTTTCGGTCGATGCGTCGTTGGCCTTTTAAATCAACCGTTTCGTGATGAGTGTGTGAGTGCTGACCACGTTTTGCGTCCATTGCTGCAATGGACGCGCTCTGACCCCCGTTGGCGTACAACAATTTGCCATGCAATGAAACTACTAGAAGCGGCTCCAGTTCTGATGGAGGAGGCTTTTTGGATAGCGGAAGATAAAGTGTTTATTGTGTTGTACTTTTTGACTATAGTTTTAAGATGTATTGTATAGTGACCAAGAATCCTCGGCTCTGTAAAGTTAATTCGGTTGAGCCTTATCAAATAAATTAATAAACAAAAAAAAAGCTGTCGATTTCTCACATCTTAAAGCGCACTCCTTCCAAATAACAATGCTAGATGGTAGAGGAAACATTCCTATACCTATTGGTGTCATTATTTTTCATGAGTGAGCTTTTTTCGCGAGAAATCGACGGCTAAAGCCATTGTTTACAAATGCAATTACGCTCCTTTGAAATGTTGGCACTGAATTTATGAATATTGCGCTACAGTGATGTGTTTTTAATCAGACCTTCTCAGATCAGCTCCAGTGACACCTGTCATCAATTGAACGAAAAAGTAACAAAGCAAAACATAACAGCTTGTAACTTGCAATACCCAATTCGATTCATTCTTCGCTTTCCCAAATGAGGTGACGTTATAAATTAAACAAATTGGAAGTAACACCCACTGAAGCTGACAGTTACAATGACTGATAATATTTTCCACGTCGAAATCAGATTTTGCCGCGCACATCATTATTGTAGGCTTATCGTATTGTTTTTTTTTTTTTTGGCAACAAGCACACAGTGTGCACAATGGCGCTGCAGCGGGATGAAAAGTTAATAATGTTTTTCAGGCGACCGAGAATTTCCGAATGCAAGCCCATAAATTGTTCAGCATACAATGTTTTCACCGTTCACTACGCTTCCCCTCTTGCCTGTTGTTTGCAGTTTGGGTTCATTTTATTTTCAATATTATTTGTCATGACAATTCAATATGGATATCATGTGACTATTTACAAAACGATTATTACAAAAATATTTCCATCCGCATCGTCAATTTTATATTTTTAATTTTTTTGGTTTTGTTTGCTTTTCCTGTGTTATGGTATTTTGATTTTCATGCACGGATTTACTGTCAAATATATAAAAAATCGTTTTTTTTTTCTGTTACTCTGTACACAATTTTTACCTTGTCTGTTTGATTTTTCTTTTCCATTTCCCTTAGCTGTTTGCATTTGAATACAACTTTATTTCTGGTATTAATCTGTTTGAATGTATCCACCGACCGATCCATTACTGAATAAATAGTTTCGCCATTTCATGAGGGTTATACCATCTACAATTTTTATCATAAAGGACGCAGCACCTACGCTTCCTCGTCCTCGTATAGCACTCGTACGTATTTGTCGTGTTTCGCGATATCGCCAATCCTCACTATCATCGATTGAAGAGAAAATCGATGTACGAATGTTGGTTTTTGTGGCCGCCGGAGTCGGGTTCGTGCGCGGGCCAGCACCGTCGGATCACCGCAAAGTGCGTGGTTTGGAATTGGTTCGAACGTTCATCGCCCCGCTCGAGGGTCCCCGTCAGGCAGTAGCCCATGTTGTAGTCGGCCAGGGTGATGTTGGAGGACAGGTACAGCTGGAAAATTGGGAAAGAGAAATGAACGAGCGTTATTCTGTGGGAATATTAATTACATATTTTCTGTTGCAACAGGGTAGGGAACGGATTAGCCAGGGGGCGGCTGTTTTCATCAATTGAAGGAATATGAGTCTAAAACTTCTACAATTGGCACATTATTATAAAGCTGGGCAAGGGCGTAAAGCGGATTCGAAAAAAGGGAGGGACTAATTTTTATTTGATGATGAGCGGGAAGGTCAGATTCCTTCAGGTTTAACTTAATTAGGCCTACAGTAGGGGTGTTTACAAGGGGTAATTCACTCTGAACAGTGTGCCGAAACACAGCTTGATACACTATTCGGCACTTCAGGACACACGTTGACACACGTGGGCCGTTGTCAATATAATATAAACGGTATCACTGTCGAGTGTTGACGTTTTGCCAATCGTTGCTAAGATTCGACGAAGGTTGACTTTTTTGTTTACTCTATTAGGCTTCACATTGGGTTTGAGGATCGTGCCTTGCTACTTTTCGGAAAATGCCAAGGAAGTATTGTAAGTATTGTCTGAACCTGTCTGCACCATGAATCTCTTACCTCTTTAAAACCAACAAAACGAAGTTTGTCTCATCCAATTCGTAGCGAAAATCCCAGTGGCTCGTGGTTTCATCCAGAATAGCTTCTAAGGTCGATACGGCAGTCAAGACGGCCAAAATAGGATCTTCCAATGCAATGGTAAGGTGCGGAATGCGATCGGCCAACTGAATGGACAAAACTCCTCTGAACGACGACAGTATTGTGCCAGCTACGGAGGATTTTTGTTTTGTTTTACAAGTTTGGCATGCAAATCGGTTTACAGTCTTCGCCAAAGTTGTTTTTAAACAATTCCTCCTCCAGCGAATCCAACCACACAATAACTAAATATCACTTTTCTTCTTCATGTCACTCTGTGCACAAAAGCAATGCACACCGCAAAAACCTAATAATAGATCAGCGCGGTTGAGTCACACCGTCAACAAAGGGATCGAGAGCACTCCAGGCACCAAAGCAACAGGGGAAAACCATCAGCACAAATCATTCTAAATCGAATTATCGCGTCCGGGACACAAAACTATTCAAATGCGAGCACCGAAAAACTACACGGCAGCACAAAGATAGCCCGAGCTCTAAAAAAAAAAGCACGTAGCGGAGCAAAAAGACTCAACCGTTCTCGGCCGCTTCTCAAAGCGGACTGCTATACTTCGAAGAACACAAGTAAGTAAATACAGTGAATGTGTTTTACCCAGGAAATTTTCGATCTAAGATCACGAAATACATGTTTTAAATTTTCGTGTTCATAATATATGAATGTATGTGTAAACTAATGATGATGATTTTATGATATTTAAAAAAGAAGAAGAACACAAAATTACTTACCCTTTGTAGAACCTTAAGGTGACCAATATTTGCGCGTTCCAGACTTTATGAAGTAGTTCTAAAGTCATTCTTATGGGAAATTTTCTCAGCTATAACTTTGTACAAGATTGTTTTTCAGCCAAATGTCAATTCAAATAGTTATAATTTGTTTTAGAGATTGATAATTTTATGACATGATCAAGCACCTGTTCTGCAGTATAACATAAACGCTGACTAAAAGTAAATTGGTACGTTAATCGCGTGCCGCTAGCACGTGTTGGAAATCGAATACCTTGACAGTGGTTTGTTTACACTTCTATAGAGAACAACTGGTACAAGTTTTATCAAAGTAGTCGATCGCGTTCAGAAATAACGTCAAATGGAACTCGAAAGAAGAAAAAATATTGTGCACAAACACCTGGAAAATCAGGAGTTGCCCGGTTCCAAGCTGGCTAAAGTGCTGAAGATGCCGAAACAACAGTTTGTCGAGTGCTCAAAACCTACAAAAACCCTAAGTGTGGAAAGGAATCAGCGGACCTATGCAAAAAAAATTAAAGGGTTGCGTCCTAGACACGACCGCAGTATGACGTAGAACCACACAAAACTGATGTTTTTCAAGCATTTTTGACTATTATACTTTATCTTAAAATTTTCAAGTATTTCAATGTTTCAGTTATGGTTCATTCAAAACAATTTACACATTTTTCTTGACAAATATCCATGATTTTTATTTGACCACACATAAACAGAATCCACTCAGAAGTACACATGAAAATTTATACACAAATGAATAGTATTTGTGGTCACGCATGGTTTTTATATGTACATATATTAAGTATGTGGCCGACTCATAGATATTTATTTGTTGATCACGTTGCAACAATTCATGTGTGGAACACATAAAAACTCCAGAACAAGATCCTTAGGATGATCCTAAACAGTCCTCCACGGACCCAAAATTCTGAGGTCCACCGCTTGGCTGACCTTCAGCCTCTAGAAGAGTGACGAACGGTCTCCTTGGAAAGGTTCAAAGACACCTGTCTGAGATCAGATCTTCAGATCATACGTGATCTGGCACGTTAGTTAAGTTAGACTCGTATTTAGATAGGTTATCAAATTTTTCAATTAAAACAAAACACACCCCCAAGTGGTATTCTGTTAACTAGATAAATACGCAAATACTAAATTAGAATATCCAATGAACAAAGATGAAGAGCCAGATAGGCTAATCAATTGAAATGTAAAATCAATGTATACACCATACCCAAGAAACATTGCAAGTTTTATCACGGTTTTAAAGCATGCTACAAGTCTAATTCATAGTCTACAGAACCCTCATAAAACCCTAATTGTTACTTGGGTAATCAACAGAAATAAACGAAATTTGACTACTACTACTTTTACAGTTAGTTGTGTGTAATTCACCAACATAATATCATTGAATATGTCCTTCAAGCAATTTATTTTTCTCAAATTTGAAAGTTTTGGTGCGGGGAGAAATTAAGGGAAAACTTCTGTTTTTACTAATAATTGTGGTTTGTTTAAAATTTATTTCCCGGAAAAAAAAGTGATCGTCAAAGTCCATGTCTTTTATGTCAGATTATTGATGAGGGGGAGGGGAGAGGTTGTTGTGAAGGAGAGAGGGGGCTTACAAACATTGCTTTTCCTCATTCCACATTGTATTGCATTTCTCATTGTGGTCACGCCGTGATCCACCTTTAGCCACTGACTTGGTCCTGCTTGCTGCAGGACCAAGTGCTACGCCGTCCGAGGCGATAATGAGCAAAAGCACGACAGCAGCGCTGTTTTATATCTTTTCAGGTTCAAGCAGAACGATGTGCAACCGAACTTGATAGGATTTCCGACCGTTTCTTATGAATGGGGCGGAGCAAAAAGTTTCTTTTGTGCATAATATGTAAAATAGTATGGACTTTGGATGTTAATATAATTGCATATATAGAGGTACGAGATATTTTTTACAGTCAGTTGTTGGTAATCCATCGAGTGTATGTCTCCTGTTAAACAATTGTTTTTTTTTAAATGTTGGCTCTGCATGTAAAAAATTAATTGTTTATACAAAATTGTGGTTGCTTAAAATTTATTTCCCGGAAAAAAATGATCGTCAAAGTCCATGTCTTTTTCGGGTTATTGTTAGGGGGAGGAGGTTTTACATGCACGTTTTTTCAAGTATCATTCCTCATTGTGGTGGACACGCCGTGATCCACATTTAACCGCTGAATTAGTCCTGCTTGCTGCAGAACCTAGTGCCACGCCATCCGAAGCGGTAATGAGCAGAGGCAGGTAGTTTAAATGATCTTTATTTTAGTTTAACTTGGACGATTACCATATAAATTTTTACTAAGTGATTTAATGATTTCTTCATCTTTAGGTATGGGCAAAATTCAAAATTTGTTTTACAGAATTAGTCCTAGACTTAGTACACGGTCGACCACCTTGGTGGGATTGGTTTGTTTTGTTTTTAGAATTTGAAGAGAAACTACTTAATACTACTATTTACAGCTTAAAACTAACCTACTCTACTATATACACTTAACCTACTATGTACAAATTGCTTATTAAAGCATGTTCAGAAAGATTGCATTTTTGAATAAATTTAGTTGTCATATCATCAATTTTGGAATCTACTTTGGGAATTTCTGCCTCTTGATGGAGGTCTGCTATTCTTGTGTCGAATGGACGATCTAGGATCATCCTCAACACTCTATTCTGTGCAACCTGGATTTTGTTCCTGTGGGTCTGAGCGCACGATTCCCACACCGGGGCGGCATAGAAGATCGCGGGGGCTATGATCTGTTTGTAAACAGCCAGTTTGTTTTGCCTTGAGAGGCGGGATCTGCGGCAAATGAGCGGATACAAACACCTAACCAAGGCGGAGCACTTAACTAGGGTTTTCTCTATGTGCGAGCGGAACAGGAGCTTCTCATCGAACAACATCCCGAGATAAGTAACATCAGTGGACCACTCGACCCTTGTACCATCCATTATTACGGTACAGGAGGGAGACGGTTTAAGTTTTAATGATTGTCTGTGAAGGAACATGATCGCTTGGGTTTTCGAGGCGTTGATTTTGATTTTCCACGTGGTGGCATAATCAGTAAAGGTGTCAAGGCATCGTTGGAGCTTGTTCGTAATTTCACGAGGCATCCTACCCTTGACAGCTATCGCGGTGTCATCTGCAAACAGAAAGAACACGCAACCGTCTCCTAGAGGAGGGATGTCCGACGTGTAGATGCTGTAAAGCAGTGGTCCCAGCAGACTCCCTTGCGGAACACCTGCTGGGATCGGAAATTGTCCCGAAAGGGAACTATTCAACGACACCCTGAACGACCTTTGCTGGAGATAGTTACGGGTGATTTTCACAAGGTATGGTGGAAAGTTAGAGTTACAAAGCTTGTATATAAGTCCGTCGTGCCAGACATTGTCAAACGCCTTTTCGACGTCTAACAAGGCCATGGCTGTGGACTTGGATACAGCTTTGTTACTTCGGATGTTATTCATCACCCGCACTAGCTGATGATTGGTGGAATGCCCCTTGCGGAACCCGAACTGTTCCGGAAGAAGTATGTCATGTTCCTCCACAAACTTGTTTAGTCGGCTGAGGATCAA